AAAAGTCACAGTTTGTCGTAAAACTGTTTGAATATAAGACTATGAAAAATACGTAACTAGAAAGACTACAAATCCCAGAGTCGCGTAAGTGATGTCACAATTGTTTTACCTCCACCATTCAGATACCTAAGATCAGCGCCATATAGATATAATCTATCTATATTGCGCTGGCTAAGATAAGATAACTTTAACAAGATGCCTGTGTGCTTAGTACCAGGTTGTTATTATACCAGCAATGGGTCTTGCTCGTTCTTTTGCTTCCCGTCTGATGAAACGACCAGGAGTGGCTTGATCAAGTTAGCTACCTAGCTAGTAGCTAGCACGTTAGTTAGCATTACAGCCTTTTCATTTTTATTAGCCTTAACATGAAGTAACATTAAGTAACCCAAAATGTAAACAGTAAGAGTAGTAGTCATATTTCGTGAACCCTTTGAATAGTACTGTCACCGGTGTGATCATTCTATAATACACCATTTAATTCCGGGGGAGAAATGCTAACGCTAACGTTAGCATCGGCGATCTTTTCTACTTCATGCTATCTGCACAAATGGTTGACATTAAACATTAAAACGACCAGGCAGTTCAGAGAGAATCAAGGAAGGCAGGCTTTGCATGACATTCTTCAGGACGTGTTTCATTGTGGTGATAGTCAATCGTTTGTTGACAAGACAGTAGTGACGGCCATCTTGGTACGGTGTGTGGTTGACCAGAGATGTAGTTCATTGAGCCTTTCACACAAACAAATGTGTTACTTCACAGTTTTACGACACATTTTAATATTTTTGACTTGCAAAATTATCTTTTAAATTGACAAACATCATATGTGTAATTCGTGGCACAATTCAAACGGGATCGAAAGATAATCTTTCTCTCTCCATTGACTTCAATGCATAACTTTTCCGAAATAAGGTCCCATGGGGCTCAACCGGAAGGGGAGGGACTTCGCCACTCTATAGACTGGTGTGGATGTGGAATTAACGGACGTGACGTTGTGTGATTGCGTTGCCAGGCAACGCAATTTACAAACTCTTCAACTACAACCCTAATTATATTTAAAACATTTTAGAAGGCCTCACGAAATACTTTAATGTAAATTAAAATGTAAATGTGAAGGGATGTGTGTAATGTGATGATTGACATTATTCACCCACGGATCTATGGGTTGGGGGTATTGTTCCCCACGGACATTTTAGTTAACCGGACTTACTGTTGATGTGAAATCCGAAAAAAAAATTAAAAATACAATAATACTTTATTCCGAGTTTGCTTGCTTTTTCTCTTTGGAGGTTATTACATAACGGCCATTGTAATACACGGTTCGGCTGCCATTAAATATGACATATCTGCCGTTAGTTCTGTATTTATAGAGCCTGATGAGAAGACTTCTGGACAAACCGGAAGCACTGCCGCCAAAACTGAAAACATGACGTGGATCATAAATATATCAGCAATTAAACAACATCTTACATTTCTTTTCATACAATACGTCTCCTTGCAGTATCAATACTAATTCGGCTGACTTTTATATTTGATCCAATTGGTAGATAGGCTGTATTTACACCATAACGGTGCACAGCTGATAGAAGGCACATCTAGTGGTTAAAGCACGTTATTGAATTTGATTATTTTATATTTTTCACAAAAATTAAACCATCAATAGCAGAAACAGAATTAACTGTCATTAGTAAACCACCCAAAAAAGATCATAAGTGGTTTTGTTTTCTATATATTTTTAAGGATAATAATAGCAATGTAACACTGTCTATGACACTTACTGTATAACACTGATTTGAAAAACATACAGAAAAAACTAATTCACTGCCCTTAATAAAGTATTTAAATATACATTTCAGGTGTGCTGTTTTGTTTAGATCATTGACATCTGGAGCTCTTTTAATGTCCTTTTTGATTATTGTTACACCAGGTCTTTGTCAAAACCTTTATTCCATATTCAATAGCCATTACTAAACAAAACAGCAATTCTACTCCACTACAATTCAGAGGTTAACCTGGTATTTTTTACTCCACTACATTTATTTTAGTTACTTTGCAGATTCTGATTAATGATGTGTGAAATATAAACAACCCTTACATCAGGCTTTAGTTACACCTGAGTAAAATTCAGGGAAAGGTGATTGTCAAGTGCCAACAATCAGGAGAGATATTTGATAGTTGCTGCTTGAGACGACTAAACATTATCTGCAGATCCCTATAAAGTATATTCATTACTCGTTATTCTCTACTAATAGTTCATTAAAACTGTATATAATGGCTATTTTGCATATCCCTTTCAAGATTTTCTAAGGTTCATTGACATATCATATACACAACTAATTCAATAACGTGCTTTAACCACTAGGCGGTGCACCACAAGGTACACACAGCCATAATAACTTTGTATTATTAGTGTAGGACACTTGTGTCTGTATAACATCTGAAGATGTGTAGTTTTATTCATGTTTTTCAATAATTGTACAGGATATTGCTCTATATTATTTCACTGTTTTACTTATAATATCTGATTTGTAAAACATCACAGACAGAAAGGTATATCCGTCATATTTAACAGTAAGCTATTGGAATTCTGAATCCATAGATGTGTCTCCCCATCACCCAAATCCCCTGACTATTTCTCTCAACTCAGTAATTTACATTCTTATATTCAAGAAAATCAGTAATATCTTTAAAAACGACAAGTCCTTTTTATATCAGCTGTGCACCGTTATGGTGTATAATGTAGTGATCACTGATTCATACACTGGGGTTACATAATTCAATCAGGAACTACAGGTTTTTTGCCGTGATACCGGGTTGCAACCGAGACAGGTTAGTGTGAGACAGGGTAATGTGAGACAGGTGTCTGTGAGACAGGTTAGTTTGAGACAGGTGGTAAGGTAATGTGAGACAGGTTAGTGTGAGACAGGTTTAGTGTGCGACAGGGTAATGTGAGACAGGTTAGTGTGAGACAGGGTAATGTGAGACAGGTGTCTGTGAGACAGGGTAATGTGAGACAGGTGTCTGTGAGACAGGGTAATGTGAGACAGGTAAGTGTGAGACAGGGTAATGTGAGACAGGGTAATGTGAGACAGGTGTCTGTGAGACAGGGTAGTGTGAGACAGGGTAATGTGAGACAGGTTAGTGTGAGACAGGGTAATGTGAGACAGGTGTCCGTGAGACAGGGTAATGTGAGACAGGTTAGTGTGAGACAGGGTAATGTGAGACAGGTGTCTGTGAGACAGGGTAATGTGAGACAGGTTAGTGTGAGACAGGGTAATGTGAGACAGGTGTCTGTGAGACAGGGTAATGTGAGACAGGTTAGTGGAGACGGGTAATGGGGGGGTTAGTGTGAGACAGGGTTAGTGTGTGGACAGGGTGTGATGTGAGACAGGGTAATGTGAGACAGGGTAGGGAGAAAGGGGAATGTAGCGGAGAGCTAAGGGGTGTCATAGGAGGTGTAGCCCTTAGACACACACACACACACACACACACACACACACACACACACACACACACAGCACACACCACACACACACACACACACACACACACACCACACACACACACACACACACACACACACACACACACACACACACACACAACACACACCACACACATACACACACACACACACAACACACACACACACACCACACACACACCACACACACACACACACACCCCTCCAGAGGGTTGGGGAGATCAGCTTTTTAACATACTCTGCCGCCGTTCCGTGGTCCAGCTCCGTCCTGAACTTTTTAACCAGTCTTTTTAAAAAATGTCTTGTCCTCACAGAGCTTTTATAACGCTTTTAAAAGGGTTTTTATAAGGTCTTAGTAGGGCTATGTTTATGGAGTTTTTTAAATGTTTTTTTAAACGCCTATTTACCGAGAGCCAGTACACCACGCAGGGCTCCTCCGGAGCCCTACGCTCCTCCACAACCTAACCCTAACACACATCCAACATGCTAAAACACATGCTAATACACATTCAACATGCTAAAACACATGCTAATACACATCCCAACATGCTAACAAACATCCAACATGCTAAAACACATGCTACATGTAATACTCCAGCATTGCCAACTTTGGGTACCTGGCTGGAGTGATATTTTGATATCATGGGTTTTTAATTACACCTATAGGCACTAAATGACTGCTATCGTGTCCAGAGCGGGACCTCTAGCCTATATATACATAGGATATATTAAGCTATTTAGGGGACTGAAAGAAAACTTTTGCGCCCTTCAAACCTAGCATAAAAGTCAAGGGGAAATCTATGAATGTGCTATACATTCTACACAAACATATCTAACAGTTGACAGCTTGAGCAGCTGTCAACTCAACGGTGTTTTGTAATAATAACCAACCCAAAACTGTTGACGGTCTCCATCTTGTTTTTGGCTTGAGGAATAGTTTGGGGCAGTGTGAACGCGTGTGTCACGCCCAGATGCGTGGAGAGTTGGCAACCCTGTAATACACATCCAACATGCTAACACACATCCAACATGCTAACACACATGCTAATACACATCCAACATGCTAACACACATCCAACATGCTAACACACATGCTAATACACATCCAACATGCTAACACACATCCAACATGCTAACACACATGCTAATACACATCCAACATGCCAATACACATCCAACATGCTAACATACATGCCAATACACATCCAACATGCTAACACACATGCTAATACACATCCAACATCCTAACACACATGCTAATACACATCCAACATCCTAACACACATCCAACATGCTAACACACATGCTAATACACATCCAACATGCTAACACACATCCAACATGCTAATACACATCCAACATGCTAACACACATGCTAATACACATCCAACATGCTAACACACATGCTAATACACATCCAACATGCTAACACACCTCCAACATGCTAACACACATCCAGCATGCTAATACACATCCAACATGCTAACAGGTGTATCCGTCTGTTTGTCCAATCAGAGTCCTGTTTGCCGGGCAGAGGGGCGGAGCCACAAAGCCAACAATTGTTAACAGGCCCAATGGAAGATGACAATCATTGACAATCAGCCAATAGGGTCACAGGGGGCGGGGTCAGACATGATCTACACCATCGAGGACGTCCCCACCCTGGTACCTGTTGTATTCTGCTGGGATTACAGGTAACAATGGGATTATACATCCAATGAGGAGGCCAGTGAGCCGTGTGTTGGTCCAATCAAGGTGAGGGTATGACTTCTGTCCGCAGCACTATCTGACGTGCTTCAGCGGCACGTGGCCGTCCCCTTCCTATTGGCCGAGGGCCATGTGTGTGGGGCGGGACCAGAACACCGTCAAGCCAGCTAGGTTGGGAACACATCTTCACCACGGTGGGGATCACGACCCTGATCCAGACACACGTGGGGGTACAGGTAACAACACTTCCTGTTTGGGTAAACACCACTTCCTGTTGGGTCAGAGAGCAAAGTCTGTAGAGGAATGAAATGTTGTGTGTGTGTGTGTGTGTGTGTGTGTGTGTGTGTGTGTGTGTGTTGTGCTTGTGTGTGTGTGTGTGTGTTGTGTGTGTGTGTGGTGTGTTTGTGTGTGTGGTGTGTGTGTGTTGTGCGTGCGCGTGCGGTGCGTGCGTGTTGTGGTAGCCTCCCTCTCTTCCCGGCCAGTGCGTTTTGCCTACCTGATTCCAGCTCAGGCCCATCCTGGGTCTGGAGCGCTGGAAGTGTCCCAGTGAGGGTGAGTGGGGATATTTATTATATGTTAAAGGTCACCTATTATATTATTTTTAGGCAGATAGCACAGGTCTCAGATATATACAAATATATAAAAAAACATGTCTCTGAAGTGTTTTGCTCAAAATCCCAAACAGATCATTATATCCTCATCCCCTCCAGCTGTTACTAAAGAGATGATTCTGGGTATAAAGCTTTAAAAAGTATTTTTTTGAAAAAATACAAAAAAACGAGGGGGCGGAGCTTATTATTCCTTTTTATTTCCTGCTTCTTCACACATACTCTCTCCAGTACAGGTTAGCTCTGAGTGTTAGCATGCTAATATGAACACAGACCATATTACTTCCAGAACACGTCTCATTGTTCTGACAGCAATGTTTCTGATTGGCCCGTGGGTTGTTAAAGCCCGCCCACATTTTAGTAATGCGGTTATGACGCAGCAAATCTGGATCAGCTCCGTTGTTCCCCCATTTTTTAGAGATGTGGGGTACGGAGGAAAAGAGAGAGGGGTTATTTCCTGATACTTTGTGAGTCTCCTGACCACACCAGGGACCCACGGGGGACCACACCCGGACACACCGGGGACACCACCGGGGACACACCGGGGACACATAGTGATGTAGAAAAGACATCACTTTGAGAGTCTCCTGACACACCGGGGACACATGGTGATGTAAGAAAAGACATCACTTTGTGAGTCTCTGACACACCGGGGAACACATGGTGATGTAGAGAAGACATCACTTTGTGAGTCCCTGACACACCGGGGACACACAGTGATGTATAAAAGACACACCGGGGCCACATGGTGATGTAGAGAAGACCTCACTTTGAGAGTCTCCTGACACACCGGGGACACATGGTGATGTAGAAAAGGAACATCACTTTGTGAGTCGCCTGACACACCGGGGGACACATGGTGATGTAGAGAAGACATCAAAAAGTGACTTTTTGCATGATAGGAGGACCTTTAATAATAACTATAATAGTTAAAATCATTATTATCTGTCATTAATAACTTTGTTGACGCTCGAATGTAAATGTAAATCTGAATTCATGTTAAAACTGATTGATGTTTGACCTGCAGAGGAGATTTATGGGAACTGGAGTCTCCCTCTGAACACGGCTCACATCTGGCAACCCCGCATCAGAGAGGTAACTATTACTATTACTATAACTATTAATATAACTATTACTATAACTACCATACATTTTACTGTTAATAACCCTAACATTTATATTAATGATTCATATTAATGTGCATGTTCATCACAGTATTACTAGGGTTATTAACTACTACCTGTCTGTCTGCCTGTCTCTCTGGCTGTCTGTCTCTCTGTCTGCCTGTCTGTCTGTCTGTCTGTCTGCCTGTCTGTCTGTCTGTCTGCCTGTCTGTCTGTCTATCTGCCTGTCTGTCTGTCTGTCTGCCTCTCTGTCTGTCTATCTGTCTGTCTGTCTGCCTGTCTGTCTGCCTGCCTGTCCGTCTGTCTGTCTGTCTGTCTGTCTGTCTGTCTGTCTGTCTGTCTGTCTGTCTGTCTGTCTGTCTGTCTGTCTGCCTGTCTGTCTGTCTGCCTGTCTGTCTGCCTGTCCGTCTGTCTGTCTGTCTGTCTGTCTGCCTGTCTCTCTGTCTGTCTGTCTGTCTGTCTGCCTGTCTGTCTGCTTGTGTCTCTCTCTCTGTCTGTCTGTCTGTCTGTCTGTCTGTCTGCCTGTCTCTCTGTCTGTCTGTCTGTCTGTCTGCCTGTCTGTCTGCTTGTCTCTCTCTCTGTCTGTCTGTCTGCCTGTCTGTCTCTCAGATCCAGGGGGCCATCATAGTGTCCAGCTGTACGGAGATTCTGATTGGGCTGTTTGGGTTGCCAGGTTTGCTGCTGGACTACATCGGCCCACTGACCATCACTCCAACTGTCTCACTGATCGGCCTGTCTGTCTTCAATCTGGGCTGGAGAGAAGCCGAGGTCTCACTGGGGGCTGTCCGCGCTGTGAGACAGTTAATATACCTGTCTGTTCTGTCCGCGCTGTGAGACAGTTTATATACCTGTCTGTTCTGTCAGCGCTGTGAGACAGTTTATATACCTGTCTGTCTGTCAGCGCTGTGAGATAGTTAATATACCTGTCTGTCTATCAGCGCTGTGAGACAGTTGATATACCTGTCTGTCCGCGCTGTGAGACAGTTTATATACCTGTCTGTCTGTCAGCACTGTGAAAACAGTTATATACCTGTCTGTCTGTCAGCGCTGTGAGACAGTTTATATACCTGTCTGTCTGCGCTGTGAGACAGTTTTATATACCTGTCTGTCTGGTCCGCGCTGTGAGACACTTTATATACCTGTCTGTCTGTCCGCGCTGTGAGACAGTTTATATACCTGTCTGTCCGCGCTGTGAGACAGTTTATATACCTGTCTGTCTGTCCGCGCTGTGAGACAGTTTATATACCTGTCTGTCAGCGCTGTGAGACAGTTTATATACCTGTCTGTCTGTCCGCGCTGTGAGACAGTTTATATACCTGTCTGTCTGTCCGCGCTGTGAGACACTTTATATACCTGTCTGTCTGTCCGCGCTGTGAGACACTTTATATACCTGTCCGTCAGCGCTGTGAGACAGTTTATATACCGGTCTCTCTAACCACCTGTCTGTCTCTCTAACCACCTGTCTGTCTCTCTAACCACCTGTCTTTGTCTCTAACCACCTGTCTGTCTCTCTAAGCACCTGTGTCTCTAACTACCTGTCTGTCTATCTAACCACCTGTCTGTCTCTCTAAGCACCTGTCTGTTTCTCTAACCACCTGTCTGTTTCTCTAACCACCTGTCTATTTATCTAACCAGCTGTCTGTGTCTCTAACCACCTGTCTGTGTCTCTAACCACCTGTCTGTCTCTCTTACCACCTGTGTGTCTATCCAACCACCTGTCTGTCTATCCAACCACCTGTCTGTGTCTCTAACCACCTGTCTGTCTGCAGGTGTATTCTGCTGATCGTGCTGTTTTGTCAGTACCTGAGGACGACATCACTTCCTGTTCCTGTTTGGAGCAGGAAGACGGGTCTGAGCTCCACCAGAGTCCAGGTGTTCAGGATGTTCCCTGTGAGTGATTATTATGATAGACACACAGCCCAGTCACACAGGTGTGTGTGTGTGTGTGTGTGTGTGTGTGTGTGTGTGTGTGTGTGTGTGTGTGGTGTGTGTGTGTGTGTGTGTGTGTGTGTGTGTGTATACTGTAGTAATGAAGGTGTGTGTATACTGTAGTAATGCAGGTGTGTGTGTGTGTATACTGTAGTAATGCAGGTGTGTGTGTATACTGTAGTAATGCAGGTGTGTGTGTGTGTGTGTGTAGTAATGCAGGTGTGTGTGTCTATACTGTAGTAATGCAGGTGTGTGTGTATACTGTAGTAATGCAGGTGTGTGTGTGTGTCTATACTGTAGTAATGCAGGTGTGTGTGTGTGTGTGTGTATACTGTAGTAATGCAGGTGTGTGTGTGTGTGTATACTGTAGTAATGCAGGTGTGTGTGTATACTGTAGTAATGCAGGTGTCTGTGTATACTGTAGTAATGCAGGTGTGTGTGTGTGTGTGTATACTGTAGTAATGCAGGTGTGTGTGTGTATACTGTAGTAATGCAGGTGTGTGTGTGTGTGTATTACTGTAGTAATGCAGGTGTGTGTATACTGTAGTAATGCAGGTGTGTGTGTATACTGTAGTAATGCAGGTGTGTGTATACTGTAGTAACGCAGGTGTGTGTGTGTGCACTGTAGTAATGCAGGTGTGTGTATACTGTAGTAATGCAGGTGTGTGTATACTGTAGTAATGCAGGTGTGTCTCTTCAGATCATCCTCGCCATCATGATCGTTTGGCTCGTCTGTTACATCCTGACTCTCACCGAAATGTTGCCTAGCGACCCTGAACGCTACGGACACAAGGCTCGCACAGACGCACGGGGGGAAATCATGGCGTCCTCGCCGTGGTTCAGAGTCCCTTATCCCTGTAAGCCAATCACAGCCCTCCACACCAACCAATCAGAGCCCCTTATCCCTGTAAGCCAATCACAGCTCTCCACACCAACCAATCAGAGCCCCTTATCCCTGTAAGCCAATCACAGCCCTCCACACCAACCAATCAGAGCCCCTTATCCCTGTAAGCCAATCACAGCCCTCCATATCAACCAATCAGAGTCACTTATCCCAGAAAGCCCAACAATATCAACCAGAGATGCTCACCTGAAATCATTCAATCACAGCAGCTCACCTGTGTCCTGTGTGTCTGATAGGTCAGTGGGGGTTGCCAGTGGTAACGGTTGCCGGGGTGCTGGGCATGCTCAGTGCCACCATGGCAGGAATCGTGGAGTCCATCGGGGATTATTACGCCTGCGCCCGCCTGTCTGGAGCCACGCCCCCTCCAGTGCACGCCATCAACAGGTGAGACAGCAGGTAGACAGGAAGTGATGCAGGCTCCGCCCCCTCCAGTGCACTCCATCAACAGGTGAGACAGCAGGTATACAGGAAGTGATGCAGGCTCCGCCCCCTCCAGTGCACGCCATCAACAGGTGAGACAGCAGGTAGACAGGAAGTGATGCAGGCTCCGCCCCCTCCAGTGCACGCCATCAACAGGTGAGACAGCAGGTAGACAGGAAGTGATGCAGGCTCCGCCCCCTCCAGTGCACGCCATCAACAGGTGAGACAGCAGGTAAACAGGAAGTGATGCAGGCTCCGCCCCCACCAGGTGTTTGACCTTTAGTTTTCCAGAGGGATCTTTTTTCTTTCTTTTATTTAGTGGGAATGCTGATACAGCATTCCAACTATATGTTATGCTACGGACAAAAAGTTTATTAT